GAACAGACAAGCATGTGGATTAGGTGAGGCCAGACCCTGGGTACCAACCTAAGGTATTTAGAATTTATCGTAGAGTGGTTCTCAACTTTGTTTCCTGGAGGATTCCTTACTCTCATTGGTGGGCCCCATCTCCAGAGTTCCTGATCCAGTCTGTCTGGGTGGGCCTGAGAGCTTGAATTCCTAACAGGTTCCCAGGTGCTGCTGCTGGCTTGGGACCACATTTTGAGGATCACTGGCCTCGAGGCAACGGGGAACATTTCTGGCCGTTGACTGGGGGTTCCCTGGTGATAGCAATGTGGGAGGTACCGGAGGAGGAGGGCGTTTGGAAGCACAAGGTGACGAGCCTCAAGACTCGGGTTGTGGAAGCAGGAAGGAAGACATCTGTGCAAGAGAGATTCTGAAGGAAGAGCTGACCATCTTTGTGGCTGACTTTAGTGATCAGAAGGCGGGGGGAGCTGGTGGTGACGGGCCCATGTTACAGGGGGGTGGCTGGCTTTGGGAAGAAGACCAAGAATCTGTTTAGGCACCTGGTGTTTGCAGAGGCAGCAGCTGGACTTTGCAGGGGGGTTCTGGATGGCACTCCGGGACAGGGACTGTGGGACTTGATGCGGAGGCTGGGAAGCGCATCTTGCCCGTGTGGGGTCAGGCATGCTCTTTCTGCAGGAGCTCCGCTGAGGCCCACCCAGAAAGGTGGAGGCAGGTGCTGGAGGGCCTGCAGTCACAGGATTGTTTTTCCTTCTTGGAAGCAGACTTGCTCACGCAGGAAGCAAACTAACAACCCCATTTGCTCCATCTTCTCAAATCACCCACGCTAACCCATTGACAGGGAGAAGGCCATTTAAGACCCACACCAGTTAACCGGGGAGCCACAGCCTCCTGACGAAGGGGCTCTCCGGGCCCTGAAATTCCAGTGTGAGGTCTTTATAGGACGGCGAGGCCGGCAGTCACGTGGCATCCTCCCCTCAGACAGGTGTGTTCTTCAGTTCGGGAGCATCTGTAGGACAGATATGTATATATATGTATATATATATATATGTATGTATATTTTTAACATTATCTTAAAAGCATTTTCTCCATTCTGCTGAGAAGTTGTGCTAATGTCCGGAGGTGATAAAAGTCGTTATGTCCTTCATGCATTTTCCACGTGGCCAGGAGGGCTCGTCGTGCTTCGGAGCCTGGGCTGGAGTTAATGCTAGCTGATTTATAACGCTCTCCTAACGCAGTACAGAAACCCTTCAAAGCCAGCACCCAGAACAAAGAGAATCACAAAGGAACCACTCAGAACTGTTACACTATCAGGTGATAACTGATGCATTTTATTGGACACACATTGCTTTGGTAGGATACCACATCTTAGAAAACTTCAGATATCTCTTTTAAGAGCACCACTTTGGGGAGGATTATTGCATCCTTTCAAACCAAGCAGCCTCAGGGCCTCCAGTTCTGTCTGCCACAGGCCTTCCTTTATAGCTGTGCGTCTTCAGATGAAGTCTGCAGGCCCCTTTCATCTCCTGCAACCTCAGGCTCATGGCTGCCATGCCTTGGAAGGACATCCCCATGTCTCACTTCTCAGCATGGGCGGTGACCAGAGGATGAATGCAAATCCATTCAGCCCTGCCCAGCTCCCGGGGCCACGGGGCAGCTGGGGGCTGGAAGCCAGGGCAGGGCCTAGAGCCCCAGGGTTAGAGGAAGGTCCAGTTCAAATCCAGGCTATCTCCAGACATCTAAATCAAGGCAGGAGGTGCCCAGCGTCTCTGGCACCTAGCTAAAAGCTAGCACCGTGGTTCTCAACCCTGGCTGCTCTTTGAGATCTCCTGGCGAGCTGTTAATATCAGTGCCTGGGTTCCACCCCCTGCCCCCAACAGATTCTGGTTCAGTTGGCCCAGACTGGGGCCTGGGCATCAGGAGTTCCCCCAGATGGCTGTCCTTTGTAGCCAGGGATGAGAGCCTATGAGTAAGGGGGACTGCAGAAAGGCCGGGCTAGTCCTGTCCTGTCCAATCCAATCCAATCCATTCTCTTCTACTCCACTCGTGTCTTCTTGAGTAACTATCATGTGGCAGATACTGGGAAAAAATGAGGGCTGATTGTGATCCTGTCTCAAAGGAACAAACTCTCAGCTTGTGACAAATGGCCCGTAAGGCAGTGGGCAGTGGGGCTGCAACAGAGTGCCAGGGGAGAGGGATGTTTTTGGGAGGAAGGGAGGAGGAAGAGGGAAGGTCGGGGAAAGATAAGGAGGGCTGTAAAGTGTTTTCCCTGGGGCTTGATGGCACCTGTGTGTGTGTGTGTGTGTGTGTGTGTGTGTGTAGGGGGCACAAATGGCACTTTTCAGCAGCACATTGTATCATTGGTAATGTGATGACAAGATGAGCATGAAGAGATATCAGGGAGCCTTTGACAGCCTGGGACTGGGGGAGGGGCAGGGCAAAGTCCTTTCTTGCGCTGGCTCCCCAGGGTGGGGGCTGTGCCCGGCCCCCTCGCTCCTGGGTGCTAGTCCTGGCCATGTCTGCTTGCAAGCCAGGTCCCAGGAGGGTAAGTAGCTGCCAGGTAGGGTATGGTCCGTCAGTCCACGTAATCATACCAGTGTTACCATTGTCCTCCCTAAAGGGGTGGAAACCAGCATGTGGGTCCCTGCAAGCAAGACCTGCTAAAGCAAAGGGGCTACTTCTGCTTGTGGCTTGGGAGTGTGCATGTGCATGCCATGCCTCTGTGTTGCATTGCATGAGAGTTACCCGCTCCCTGGCCTTTTACACTGTAGCTTGTGAAGGCCAACACTAGACCAAAGGGGAAACTGGCTCTGAAAGTGCTAGACCCGAGGGCGTCTGTGACCTGCCAAAGCCAGAGCATTTTAGGAAGAGTCCAAGTTGAGCATATCCTCTGGGGAGCATGGGGCTCCTTCCATGTGGGGCTCATCCCATGTGCTATGCCCCACCTGCCAACTTTTTTTCGACACATGGAAGTGTTCGCCGTGGTTACTGAGGTGTGTGTTTGGCACTGAGGCTTTCTTTAGGTACAGCCCTAGGGGAGCTCTGCGTACCCGCCACAGCCACCTTCTGCTTCCACTTCTTCCGTCTCCCCAAAGTATCTTCGTGAACAAATTCAAGGTCTAACTTCAAAGGAGAAGGAAGAAAGCCATGCTTTCCTGTGGGTCATGCAATGCCACTTTAAGACAGTTTTATTTGGGCAGTAAAATCTCTTGAGTTGTTCTTGGCAGAAGTTCTAATGAAATGGAAACCTTGAAATCTGCTAGGAGCTGTAAGTTCGGTCTCACCCTGTGTTTTGGGGACTCAAGGTTGGAGGCGATCATATTAGTTGATCTGGTTTACTTTCAGAGAGGCTTGGTGTCCGGGCATCCTTTCCAAATGTAGAGGAGGTCTTCCATTTGGCTTGAGTGAGCTCTGTCCTTGAGACCAGAGGACTTGCTGTGCTGGAGAGCAGTGTTTCGCAAAGTGGGGGCCCCAGACCTCCCGCATTGGTGTCACATGGGGGCTAGTTAGAAATGCACATCCTCGGGGCCTACCCAAGACGTCTCGGTGATTTTCACGTGCATTGGAGTTTGAGAAGCACTGTTTCTGTGTGACACGGCCTTTAGAAAAGAGACTCAGTGGGGAGAGAAGAGATGATGCTCATTTCAGCCATAGACTGATCTGCTTGATCTATGGACTCTGTTTAGCCAAGGTGGTCCTGGGCATCCACCCGGAGGAGGCGCTGTGGGCCGCACAGCCCATTTTGCAAACTCAGGTCCTCCTCCAGCCTAGGACCCAGTGGGGTTCCTTGTGGGAGGTTTACCTTGCTTTGTTGACACCTCCGAAGGGAAGCTAGCAGCAGGTATCCCAGGGAAGGAGCACAAATTGGTTTCATGCCTCAGCATTGGTTCCAAGGGATGGGAAGAGTTCTCTGCACCATATATATATATATTTTAGAATTAATATTCACTCTGTTAAAGGGGCAAATTAAAAATCCTAGTTCCTAAATTTTTCCTTCAGTTTACAAGTCACGTCCTATTTCTAATCTAGCAAGTTTTTAAAACTTTATTGAAGTATAATTAACATAGCGTTATATTAGTTTCAGGTGTACAATATGATTCACCAATCCTATACATTTGCCCGCCCTCGTCTAGATAAGTGTACTCTTGATCCCCTATCTCAAAGGTTTTTTGCAATCCTTTTCAAGGGAGCTTTGGATAATATTCGGCGCCACTTGTAAATTTGGTGATTAACAACTTTTAAACCTTTAAAACTGCATTGAGGAATGTAATGTAGTCAATTTCCTTTTCAAGTTCTTTGGTTGGCTGAGAAGCCCTTTGCAAGTATATCAGTGATTCCTACAGACCTAATAAGTGAGTCTTAGAAACGTGGGAAGTCTTAAGTTCTCTTACACATTCTAATACTGCTTCTAAACCTACTAAGATTTTAAAATCCCGATTCTAAGTCCGTGATGGACTTTAAATTAGAATCCCAAATCTAATCCATTGGCTACTCTGTCGATTTCTCTTCAACACCACAAGTTCTGGAATAATGTACTAATCCCCTGTCACAAAGCTATTAACACTTCAGGACTGGCTCCATACTCTTGCATTCTTAATAACCCCAGGGATAAAATACATTCCCCCCCGCCATTAAGGATGTAATTGTCATTCATCCCCAATACTTTTGGCATTGCCTCCTCAAGTGGACTTTTGGAGGATGATTTTAAAAATAATTTTTAAAAGAAAGTTTCTTTTTATTACTAATAAAATAATACATTTCTTTTGAAAATGAACCCGGGATATCTCTGCACCCCCGGCCCCGTGCCCCGCCTCCCCACATAGCCATGGGGTGGGATGTTTCAAGTCCCACAGACGCTCCTTCTTGGGCTCGGTGAATCAGGGCACCCTGGAAAGCAAAAGCCCAGAGCTGAGGCCCAGGCCTTAGCCAGGTGGCCTTGCTGCCCTCAGGTTGTCGGGGTCTTGGGTATGCATGAACAAGGATGACTCATGTCCCGCTTTCCTCTTTCTGGGCAGGTTGGTCTCATCCAGCTTGGGCAGGAGCAGGTGCTAATCCAGCCCCTCAACAATTCCCAGGGCCCGCTCAGCGCACGAGAGCACCTGGTCAGGCGCAAATGGTCCTTGGCACCCAGCCCCTCCACCGAGGCCCAGGTCCCTGGGCAGCTCTGCCAGGTTCTAACAGGTGAGTCTGGGAAACTGCACACTTGACAGCACATGCCGTTCGGCACCACAGCACGTCCCCAGGCGCACTGAAGTCCTGTGAGCAACAACCTTCCTTCCCCTGTATTTGGAAGCTGTTTTGTTCATCTCCCCTAAGGCCACTGCCTTTTCCCCTCTATCTGGATTAGTGTTAGCATTTCCTGTATAGCAGCCCTTTTAAGAGGGAAGGCACCCAGGATCTCACTGATGCAGTGCCTCGGTTGTGTAGGTCAGGAACGAGTTGAGGCCCCCCAACCCTGGATGGCTTATTTGTTACCAAACCCTAGGTTGGTGGCAGAGCTAGACTGAGAATTCCCTCCCTCCCTGGCCAGAGTGGGCTCTTCATTGTGGGGCTCCCCAGGCCTGGCTGCACCTGGGGGGGCCTCGGAAGCCATGATTCCCAGCGGCATCAGCGCTGCGGCCTGGGACCCTGTCATCTGCATGTTCTCAGGCCCTCCGCCCCCGGACTTCCTGCCTCAGAAACTGGGGGGAGTGGGTCCAGGAATCAGTCGCTTCACAGGTTCATGCTTCTGATGCATGCTAGGGTGTGCCGAACCACTGCTTTACACAGTGTCTGGCACCAGCCTGTCCCCCAGCATCCTGATCCAGTTGGTCTGGGGTGCGACTGGGGTGTCCGTGTTTTTAAAGGTGATTCTACTAAGTAGCTTGGGTGAGAACCCAGGGTTCTTATATTCTGTGCCTCTGTTCGAGCAACCTGTGGATTCACGGTCAGCTGTTTAAGAACATTTCACGGTCACTGAAATGGCCACTGCTGTGCCATCAGCAGTCTTCTTGGGAGCATCCCCTGATGAAGACGGATAAACTGCTGCTCACAGGTGGCATTTCCTCCCTGGATGGAGGGCATGGGACCCCACGGCTCACCTTTGGGAGTTGTGCTTTTGTAGTTTAAAGACTTATCTTTGGATAAAAAAAATATAGTGTCTCTGTTTGGTATTCCAGTGACCTTGGAAATACATCAGTGATATGACTGTCCTTTAGGACATGGGATATATGAACAAGCGTTGCAGCTCAGCTCAGTTGTTGCCTGTAGACCTGATCTTATCCAGGTAGCTGCCCTCAGCTGGTCTGCATTCGGCAGGGAGAGAGCGGAGGCGATTTTGCTCAATCAAGGCCATCTCTGAAACCCCAGGAGAGCTCTGAGTGATAGAGAATGCCACCATACAGAAGGGTTTTGCTCTGCTCCTTCCTGTACCCTTACAAACACAGGGGAAGGTGGACCTCAGCATGAAATGACTAGTAACTAAAACACACTCTTGAATCGGAAGCAGGGGCTTGGGGAAGTTGGTCGGTTGTGTGTTTGGGCCTGATGCTGGGATCTTATTTTAAACATCAGCCCCCTGACAGTCTTGGTGGAGCAGGTTTTTTTTTTTTTTTAATCTGCTTTCAAAGTAAGTGACTATTGGTCATTCTATATCTGTATGCATTTTCTGCTAATCTGAATATATTGTTACCGAGGCAGGGGGCTCTCAGGGCAGGTTGTCCTTTGGCATCACCTGGGGAACCTTAACAGCTTCTCACGCCTGGGTCCTGCCCCGGGAGAGCTGCTTTCATTGGTTTCGGGCACAGTCTGGGCAGCTGGTGATTTAAAATCTCCCCAGGTGGTTCTAATGTTCAGCTGGTGCTGAGAACCACCGCGCTAAGGAGTATTAAACATGAGTAATAGCACCGGTGGGCCATCGGAAGTGGGTTTTCAGGTGAGAACCACCAGGCAGGGGCCCCACAATGAAGTCTAAGGGCAAATACGTTTTAGTCTCACTTTTCCCTCTATTCAAGCCGGCGCTCATCAACTGCTAGTCAGGATCAGAAGCCAGGGTACTTGTGGATGATATCATGGAATATTTGTCTCATTGCCCGCTGCCATCCTCTTTAGGGGCATGCGCGATACCCAGGATTGCTGACAACATGATAAATTGTGCTCGGGTTTGCATTTTTTCTCCCTGAGGCTGGTTTCAAGGCACCCTTTTGATAGAGTATTTAGCCTATAATGAAGGAAATGAAATGAACAAAACCTGGGTGGGGAGGAAGTGTTAGAAAGGAAGTTTAAATAAGAGCAGCCATGCAAGAAATCTCTGAATTTGCTTAAAAAAACCATCTCCCCTTCGCTGCGCCAACATCTCATGTCATTGTGCTCTGCAGTGCTAGGGCGATGTGCGTACTTAATAAGGTGGGGCCAACTCGGACCGTGTCCTGGGTGGGAACACAGACACTGGAGAAAGGTGTCTATTTCCTTCCGGTCCTTCTTGCTTTGTGTGAAGGACAGTGGGCCTTCTAATAGGTTTAGCTAATAAAGCAGTTAGGCCCTATCGAGTGTGGGTTGACTTCCTGGGAATTTAGAAATTTCATTGCGAAATTGACAAAATCAATTTACTGGGACACCAGCAAGATATATTTTTGGCTTCCTTGGAAAGAGGAATCAGATGAATCATCCAGGATTTCCTATGGGCACATATTCTTTATGGCTGAACATGGCTGTCTTAGGTGTCATTGTGCCTTGTCTTGAATCTTGTGTTACCCCAACCTTGGACCTGGCTTGGGAGTAACCAGCTGGCTCTTGCAGGTGAGAAGGAGTCTGATCATTCTTCCTCCTCCATGAAGCACTCAATTTACCTGAGCGTTGAACTCTGGTAAGCCACCCTGTTCTCTAGGCGGACAGAGGGACTAACACAGGGACAAGGCCACCTGGAAGAACCCACTGCCTTCTCGTAGGGAAGAAATTGCATTTCTAGCAGTCTTTGGGGCTCCCAGAGAGAGGATCCTATTACCTTTATTGCTTCTTATTTTTAGGACCTTATAAAATGATTCATAAAGTGTCACTCCAGATTGGAACTTGGCATGAAAAATATGGAGTCTGTGAGGCTTTCTTCTTTTCTTTCTCTTTCGTTCGTTCTTTTCTTTTGGTCACAGCATGAGTTTTTAAAAGTTTTGGGGGCTATTCTCAACAGCGAAAATGGTACTTTGGATATTTTGAAACGTTTCTCAATCTTGACTTCAAAACTTATCTGTCTTCTATGCTTATTTTAATTTCTCCATTTGGATTCAGTTTAGAATCTCCTCATTTTCATGGGCTTTAGTAACAATTTCAATCTCTGTCTCCTCCATCGTGGTAGATGTAACATGTGGATGGTTGAGGTAGATGGCAGAATATTAAAACTTCCTACAAGGCACTGTCAAGGTAGGGATCCGACAGTGTTTCAGTGTGCTCGTTAAAACACAAATACACCGTCCAACAATGGTACCTGCAAAGACATTGATGTCTACTTTCAGTTCTGTTATGGTTGTTTAAAAAAACCATTGTAGTTATTTTGTAGTACTGTTTGGTTCATTTGTAGTGTTATAAAGTGAATTTTAGTGAGTATTTAGAAGATGCCATAACTCTTCAGAAATTGCGTATTGCCAATTTATGCAATAATTTGCCTAACGATTGTATATATGATCAGTAATAAATCATTGGTTGGGACTCCTGTTTTATGTCCATTAAGATTCCTTTGGTTGGAAATGACAGAAATCAGGCCGGCTTAACCACTCAACATCACTGTCCCGGGCTCATGGAACTGAGGAGCAGAGCGGGAGGGTGGACCTCAGGTAGGCTTAGCCAGGCTGGGCTTCATGGCAAGTGTTTCTCTCTCTGACAGCCTGTTCTCAGCTGGCTTCTCTTGTAGTGACAAAGCGGCAGCGGGTTCAGGAGATCAACTCTACTGCTTAATCGGGAGTTGAGGTGGGTTGATCTGGATTGCAGCTTTAACTACTTTCAGTTCTCCACTGGTTTCACATGTCCTGAGGCAGGACCGGAAGAGCTTAGGTCCCAGTCCCCACGTCACCGTGGAGGTATCATTCTGCTCTCTGTCCTCGTCCCGACTTCCTGCAGGCTGCCATACTTGATAGAAGTCTGGTGCAGTAGATTCAGGGCACCCCTCCTCCAGATCTAATCCATCCTTTCAGCTCACATGGTTGTTAAGAATTTAGCTGGTTCCTTCTCACTTCCACAAGATCCTGTGCTGCTGCTTCAGCTCCTCATCCCGCCTGTGCCGTGGGGATATGTGTGGCTACTGGTCTTGGCTCACTTAGGAAGGGCTCAGTCCCTCTGAGATTTGGTTCTCCTCTCAACTTCATCAAGACCTTGGCTCTCGGGGCGCCTGGGTGGCTCAGTCGGTTAAGCGACTGCCTTCAGCTCAGGTCATGATCCTGGAGTCCCAGGATCGAGTCCCGATCGGGCTCCCTGCTCAGCAGGGAGTCTGCTTCTCCCTCTGCCCCTCCCCCCTCTCATGTGCTGTCTCTCACATTCTCTCTCTCAAATAAATAAATAAAATCTTTAAAAAAGAAAAAGACCTTGGCTCTTCAGTGGATAAAAAAAAAAAAATGATTTCATAGTTTATGTGGTGTGTTTTTGTTGTTGTTTCAGTGGTAGTGATGGTCTCCCATGTTGTTCTGCATCTCAACAGAAAGAACCCAAAATAAATGGAATTAAACATGCTACTTTGAGTTTCTCCATCTTAATCTTTTAAGTGTTTATTTACAGATAAAAATATTAACTCTAAAAACAGACACCACTATTTTAAGTATTATTCTGGGGGGAAAAAAGAACAGTGCTAGAGCCTGACTCTGTCTTTCTTGGGTGTGACCCCAGCAGAGTCCCTTAATATCTGTGTGACTCTTAGGGTTGCCAGAATAAAGTACCATAGCCTGGATGGCTTAACCAGTAGGCATTTATTTCCTTACAATTCTGGAGGCCAGAAGTCCAAGATCAAGGTGTTGGTAGGGTTGGTTTCTCAAAGGCCCCTTCCCTTGGTTTGTAGACGGCCACCTTCTCCCTGGGTCCTCACGCTGTCTTCTCTCTGTGCATATCTGTGTCCTAATCTCCCGTGCTTATAAGAACACTAGTTATGTTGAATTAGAGCCTATTGATGATGTCGTTTTCACTTAATTACCTCTTTAAAGACCATCTCTTCAAACACGGTGGTACTC